CCCACCGCCCCCCCCAAAACAGAACCACATAAAACTCACCCCCCACAAAAGCAACAAATTCGGGAACTACGAAACATCCGACGAACGAATGCAAAACGATGAGCAAGGGTAAGCGAGCGAGCTAAGTGCCAGTAAAGGGTACGTGCTCAGTTGGAGCTGAGTGTGCAAGAATTGCCGATGCGTCCAGAGGAGCCGACTGTGGTGTTGAGTTGCGTTTGGACACTACCTACAGCCTTGCAGGGGAGGGGGGGGGGGATATCAGGACCATTCCACGTTTGTACACAGTGTCCTGGCTGTAGTGGTTAAGAGACTTGGCTCTTGGGGCTGAGGTCGCCGGTTCAAACTTCAAATCCATGCAGGAGCACGGAGGAGGATTTAGGCGCGTGGAAGTGCGGATCCATAACCAAAACCAAAATACATGTGAGGAATGAACACAAAACGATGAAAAGAAAATACAAATCCCAGAACTACATAACAAACACGCAAGAAATAAATGCAAAAAAAGTTTAAAAGAACAACAAAAAAAAGACATTGCACAACTACAGGTCATGTGAGGGGAAAAAAAAAGAAGGAAAAAAACGAATCAAAATGCGGCAAAACGACAAAGATACACATTGCAAAGCTACAGGCCACGACAGCAACAAACCCAAAAAAAAAAAAAAAAAAAAACTGCAGCACCACAGAACACCTGAGAAACAAACGCAAAACAACAAAGAGGCAGAACTACAGAACATGCGAGAAACGAATGCGAAACTACCAAAGAAAGTAAGCAATACAAAAAACAAACAAATTGCTAGGTTACCAATGGTCCGGAGACCGGACGTCTCCCCTGGACGTCGCCCCATATGTCCGGTACCCCCGTCGTCCGGATTTCCGGACGACGGCTTTTTGGCACTAAATAATATTATTAAAAAAAAAAAATGACAGTGCTGCGCATGCCCTAGAGACCCCCCACAAAACAATTCAGATTTTTCTGAGCATTTGGTGATAGGGTGGTAATTGGGGTAAGGGGGGGGGGGGAGGGGGGGGGGGGGGGGGGGGTACGAGGGGTTTTGGTGGGATAGGAGGAGTATCGGTGGGGATTAGAATCTTTGAAGATTTTTATTGTTTATTCTACTTGCCCAAATGAGCCAAAAATTTGGTGGCATACACCTTATGCAAGGT